TGAATTCAGTTTATACGCTCACCTCTGCCGGGTCGTCGTCGTCATCAACCACAGTGAATACACTGTTAGTGGGATTGTTGACTTTGTCCAACAGTTCTAACGCTCGCCTCCTCGTCAACCTTTCCGGGGATACTGTAAAGAACTGATGCTGAAGATGACAACCAAAAGCAAGTTAGTGTTAAAATTCGGACATTGGATATGATCTGAGATACAAAATGCAATTTTTAGTTCATGTGCACTTCTGAAAAACCCAGAACGGTGTTTCGTGAGGGGACTTTAGTGTTAGTACAACGTTTGTTTTAATTACTGATATTTACACGACGCAGAAAACAAAACAAAAATAGTTTGCTATATTAAAAAACAAAAGAACTTTCATTATTTCTCCTACCTGTAACATTTTATCAGCGGTTGGCCTCCTTTTGGGATTTTTCGTCAATGCCATTTTGATAAAATTGTGGAAGACTGGCGACCATTTCTCCTTGTCCCGGAGTTTAGGGGGGACAAATCCACTTTTGGACATTAAGAAGAGCGCCCTGAAAGTGTCACACAGTATAGTTTAGATGTCAAAAGTGGAATACATATTTGCTTTGTTATATATTTGCTATGTTAATAAACAATAAAGTTCTCCGTCAGTAAACTGTGAAAGGTCAACGTACCTCATCGGGTGTAAATCAAACATAGGTGGCTGAAGCTCAGCTAATTCAATAGCTGTGATTCCCACAGCCCACACGTCACACTGAAAAAAAAAGCAAACCCACATGAACATTATTTAATAGTTCACACTCACGAACAGAGGGTTACAACCATTTTGTTTTTATCTTCTTACATGTATATAAGACAACAGAGAAACCAATGTGATAATATGAATCTGTCATTATTTAAAATTTACTAATAATAGTAAAAATAAACATGAACAAAATAGTGTCAAGTTCAACTGTTTGTCGGGTCACATTGAAAAACTAATCAAGAAGTAATCAAAAGACGAAGAAACAAATTCGCAAAACGATTCCGCTATAAACCATCAAATGTAATACAATATAATTAAGGTAATGATTTTTAGAGACTAAAGGGAGTTGATGGTATTTGAGCTGACCCCTAAAAACACTTGCCGGGTTTCTAGGCAAGTCTGACTTCACTGAAACACTCGCAGTTTTCTCTCCCACTCACCTGATAGTTGTACCCTCCTTTCCTCTCAACTGCCGCTACTTCCGGTGCCATCCAGTATGGCGTACCGATAAACGATTTCCTTTTACACATAGTCTGCGTGATCTGTGCTGAAACGCCAAAATCAGCTGCAAAAGAGACAAACAAACAAACAATGTAGATGTGTTTTTTTTTGATGAAATTCACATGCTGTACCACACATACAAAAAAACGTGTCAACACGAAAGCAAAAATTAAATCAATCTTGCAACAACGAACAGATACATACACATAAATAAACAAACAGAGAATAATATGTATATACATTACACTGTACACACAGACCAGCTTATATGTTCCAATCAATTAATCAAACCTATTTGTCAATGCTCTAGGCAAGAATAAGTAATACATTTAGTGAATTCACACTTGACCTTTCAGTTTTATTTTCTCGTAATCCATACAACTGACAGTCAATTAATTAACTGGGTTTTCATTAAGTCTTAGGATATTACAAAAAGAATACGAACAATGAAACAAATTACCGTTTAATATATTTATCGTGTACATATATATATTAATCTACCCATTTAACTGGGCCAAGACTGTTCCATTTATTATCACCCCCACCCCCAATAAAGAGTTAGCCATAAAGCCGGACATTTTTGTTCCAGGGATAAAATAATACATCCTTGAATGAACAATATTAGAATCGATAAACACAATGCGATATTATGCTTAGAACATTATAATTATGACTGACATGGGTTTTTATATACAGATTGCCCACGATAAGATTGCATACAACCAAATCACCCCCCCCCCCCAACCCCCACGCAATTATGAGACTTAGAAGCAAACTCTGCAAGCTGTGCAGAAAAAAATGCAAATGTCAAAGGTAAAACTCATAAAAAAAGCTTCGTATTTCATCTTACTTACTGCCAGACCATCAAAGCTTTAGCAAGTAATTGAAAATTGAACAATAAATGGCAGGAGATTTGCGAATCGGTCTTAGAATAAATCATCAATGACGTGCGAGAGGATCGCAGCAAATACAAATTGTTTATGGGCAACATAGAATTGTGAGCGCTTGTTAACATTGCCAATTAGCGATAGAGTGCGGGCTAGCATCTTCTTTCTTATTATGTGGAGAAATCAGAGAACATCAAGTCCATCTGTGTAAAGGGGAGGGGGAGGGGTCAAATGGCGGATAAATCTTAACCATAAAAAAAAAAATTAAAATTAGGATAGACTTGTGAAAAGTGAAAAGACTAATTTCGTAAAATATTTCAAAATATTCACCGAGTTTGTAAGCTCTCTTATACATTTACATACTTTCTAGGACTAGCTCGATGTACATTCCAAACTCACATATAAACATCAGGGACATTATTTTTTGGGCTAAACTTGGCATAAGTAGGTCACGGAACTCACTGGTATATCATTATCAGGACTCTGATGAGATCCCAACAGGGTGAAGCAGAGGAGACTGCCCTTAAAAAGCGATAGGAGAACATAGTTGAAATATATTTCATTTTCGTGTTATTTTTTGAAAGAAAGAAAGTTGGCATATAAGTTTTTATTATGTATGCCAGTTAATGTTTAGGGCTTGATACAGTTTTCTTTTAGTTTTCTGGGTTTCAACAACATTAAGTCTGTGTGTGGCAAAGTCTATTTTGACCTTGTGAGGTTTATAACCTCGCCTCCCATCATGTGTTCAGTTTATACTCACCCAATTTAATGTCGCCCTCTTCTGTAAGTAAAATATTGGCGCCCTGCAGTTAAAATAAAAATAATTGTTTACATAAAATATTACACATGAGAATAGTCAGTGTGAGTGACACACACCGCATCACGTACTGTGGACGGTTTCTGAAGCGACCATATTGATTTGCACTATTAAAAGCGAATGTGCTTTATATGTTAATGACAGAGGTGAGTCTATGGTCTTATTTGTGAGACTTATTTTAATGATCTAGCATCCAATATATACAATTTTCGGTTGATGTGGGTTTCTAAATACAGCTAATCTAGCATGTATGAATTGATAATATGTTTATGTATGATAATATATTTATTTTTTAAAAAACAACAACAAGAATAAACATTTAGTCAATTTGGCTACACGTTATGGGAATTATGGGATTTTTTTTTTTAAACCCTTTGATTGAAAAATATTTGGCGAGAAAAGAAATACAGCATACAGGATAATTAAACAAAATAAAATTACCAATTGTGAAATAAAATTGTATGTACAGTAGGTCAAAAGGTCAATCAGTGGACACAGCAGTCAGAAATAAGGTAAAGATCATTTGAGCCAACATAGTGCCACGGCAGACCTGAAGCCTCCTCAAAGAAAAATGATTGCGATGATTGAAGCAAACCAACTATTCTAAGCATACACTGAGCACCTTGAATTACATAATATCTAGGTAGAACGACACGCTAGAAATAAATGGAGCGTGTGCTGTAGGTGTCCTCGGACAGCTGGTGTTAATAACCATGCATAAAACATTAACAACAGTTGACATTTTCCACTTCACTTGATCAGTTTTTTTTTTTTTAACATAAAGAGGTTAAATAAACTATTGAATAATAGATAAAAATCGATTAATTTAATAATTCTGTTGAGTAGAATCCGTTCAAGCATACGAACGTAAAGTGAATTAAAATTTGTTCAATAGTCGCCGATACTAGGCTACATCGATTTCACTAGTCTCATCTGGAGCAGTGGTCTATGACCTATGACCTTTGACCTTTGACCACTAACTCACCTTGATGTCTCTGTGCATCTTCCCAACATTATGCATGTAATCCAGCCCTGTCAGAGTTTCCTTGCATACATACGCAATCTGTAATTCCGTCAAAGGACCAGTAACTGGATGGAAAATAAAAGAAAGGTATATAAACGCAACTCTAAATATAAATTATTTCCTTATTTTTTTACATATATATATATATATATATATATATATATATATATATTATGTGGGAGAGCACAAATAAAAATTTTGAGATCTGCATGTCAATTTCACGCCCGACTCAACTATAAATACATTTTCGTGTCTAGTCAAATACTTAAAAAAACACACACAGAGCGTTACAGTCTGGTTGTAACATCCAGATTGGAATTAGTGAGTGAGTTCAAAGCTCCCAGCGTGTGGTAGACTATTAAATGCAACAAAAAAAAAAAACATTTAAATTAACGTCTACAACACAACAATTAAAACAGCTTCAGTATCTGCACAAAAAAACAACCTAGACATAGAATAAACATTAAAAATAATTCAATACATAATTTTCAAGGTTCAAATTCATACAGAGTTGCATCTCATCTTGGTTATACATGCATACAAACAACAAAGGCATGACTTCCTTTTAATTCGACAACTGGAAAGATGAGACCTTAAAAGAACACTGTTTTGAAAGCAGGCCAAGGCAACCATATTGAAAAGAGTAGATGACAGATCAGATGTATATTACAGTCATGTAAAAACACATTGTGATTAAATCTTTAGTGCAGCTTCACTCCAGCCAGGTAATACACTGCCTAGAATCACAATTATACAAATCGGGAATATTTCTCAAAATATTTTTTTTTTGTATATTACACTGTTAAATTTTTCCCAACACATTTAATTTATTTATTTCAAAAACACTGCCAGTAGTAGACTGGAACAAATCTGTTTTATGAGAACAATACAACATGACCTACTTTTTATCTATACCTCTATAAAAGCGGTTTCCTGCTTTTGAAGTATTAAATTACAATGTGCCAATAGTAAATTTTTAAGGTGTTTTTATGTGACAATCGCAAACCATTTTTTATTACATGGGAGAAAGACATTTATAGTGAATTTCATGAGTCAGCGGGGAAAAATAAGTAAATATTTCGACCAATCACATGTGATGTTCATACCAATGCTAAATAAAACCAGCCAGAGCATGTTGAGAAATGATTGATGATAAGTATATAATACATTTTTTTTGGAACTAAAATGGCCTCCAGTCAAACAAATTTTCATTTAAATCCAAAATTGAAGTGAAGTAATATATTATCTTTTGCCCTTGTACCAAATTGAAAACCGTGTTTGTTTGTTTGTTAAAGCGTATCAGACAAATGAGTAGAACACAAACATAAAAAAAACAAAATGACAGCCAGTTGTCAATTATGAATCAAATCGAAAAAAAAAAATTAATTTTGGTGTTTTTTTTTAAATAAAATGGCAACCAGTCTGTTGAAGGTCAACTAAACAAAAAACAAGTTGAGGTGACTTGCCTCTCTACAAAATTTTAGCATAATCAGTAAAGGCACATGATGGCGAATGGATAAAACCCAAATCATTAGTCTCTGTTAGGGTCTACAACCAACGGGAAATAAAAACTGCAAAGTTCTATGAAAGCTAATAATAAAAGTCCAATTGATCACTTCAAGACATGTGAGTTCTTCACTTTTAATTTAATTCCCGAATGCTTGCATACTGGTTTCTCAAGTCTTTCCTTACTGGCAATACAAGGCAATTATCTTTCACTATTTTGGCTGGATGGTATCACAATCCAGAAAAATAAATTCTTTCTCACATTTTGTTTAATAACAACGTTAAGAATGCAAAAATCAAATTTTTCCATTTTTCGCTCCATAAACTCAAACTAAAATAATCCATTGCAATAATTTTACAGTTGTAACAATATAGTTCATCATAACTGATCCAATGTTGTGATAGATGCCGTAACAGCCCCCCCCCCCCCCCCCCCCCGAGAGAGACCTTGTTATACAACATGCCACAAGGTAGCGGGAAAGTGACCTGGAAACACTCCGTTCAAGGCTATGTCTGTCTCAGTCAGTGTAAAACTGCTGGTATGTGCATACTTGTATTGTATCCGCCAATATCTTGTTACTGTGATAAATGATTTCGAAAAATGTGTATGACCTTGGTCAGAAACAAAAACATACCAATTCGTGTATTTAATAATTTCCACAACGCACTGCTTCATTTTTAGTATTCTGAATTACAAAGCTTAAAGAACAAAGTGTAGGGCAATTATAGTTTTGTAATAGATACATTCTGACTCATAAAACACGATAGCATCCACCATCAAAATGGATTTGTTGTTTACACTATTGTTTAACGCAACAAGTGAATTCTAGTTATTTCCTGTTGAAAGTGTTCGTCAGTTTCACAACAAGGAAATCAGCTAGGTTAAATAAATATATTTTCACTTATAATGCATAGTAAAAACTTTTAAAAACCATATTGTTTTCTC